TCAAATTTGTATAATGTATTTAATATAGATGATCCGACACTTGTCCGAATCTTCTTTGCAAAATGTGGCTAAACCAATGCAGGTGCTCGTAACACAGCAAAGGGGCATCAAACCATGGGACGTTCCGCAACCCGGTGCAAAAAATGTCAAATTTGCTTGGGATAGTTAGTTATTTTCTTGATTAACAGAGGACTTTTTTTCACTAACGGCACTTAGAAATGTGAACTTAATTTTGATTACTTTTTAAAGTTGTAAAAAAAATGTGCTTTTTTGCTTTTATGACTTTATCTTTTAATTAATTATAGCTCGGGGTGCTCGCTTTTTCCGATATATGATTTGGCAGTATATGTGGGGTGGAAGACAGTATGGTTAGTTTTTAATTCAGTTAAAGTGTTATTTTTTTAAAATGTATGGAATTTTTTGCTTTTTAAATGAATGAATTTAAATCACTTTTATCTCACATAATGAAAAGTGTGATTATGAGGGATAAGTAGGACATTATAACAATTATGACGTGTATTATTTGAAGGAAATTTTTATGGCTATTTTCGTAGCATCTTACAGTCTTATTGCAAAAGGAAATTTTTTTGCCATTGAAGACAGGAAAGATATTTGTTACTTGCATAGCTATTTAAATTTGAATTTAGGACTTCTTTACCATGACCAGGCGTTTGAACCAGATCCGGTTATCGCAGAAGCACTACGTAGACTCAATTTGAAAGAGCCATGGGTTTTTGACCAGAGGAAGATACGACTAATAAAAGCACATAATTTGGCGATGCATCATGAGAAGCTTCCTAAGAGTGAGTGGACAAAATGGGAGGATGTAAGCGTCACGATGATTTTTAAGAAAATTTTTTACAAGTGTAAACGATGTCATTGTTAAGGAACAGTGCTTTGGAAAAGTTTTAATAGTTTCTCTTTCAAGAAGAGGCTTGAAAAAGGCTTGGTCGTTAGGCATTTCATTGGTGTTACTTCAGAGCATGAAAGGGTCGTGGGTTTTTGAGTACTTTGAGGAAGTTTACGAGTACGTATTTTCGAAAACGTTTTGTGGAAGTTGTATGATATCACTTCTTCGTATTACCTACAGGCGCCTTTTCGCAGAGAACATATTTTGATTGTTATAGTCACCAATGTTCATTTTATTGAAATTTAAACTTAAATTCTAAATTCATTCGAAATGGTCGGTTATCTAAGAGGTTGTGGCTTCAAAAGGTTTTTCAAAGACTACTTGAGCAGGAAATTTTTTAGATTCTGTTTTGCTGTTAGGATAATACAAAAGTTTTTAGTTATTATGGGCATTTCTTTCGTAATTAAATATTTTTTCTTCACCGAATTTTGAGCTAACCGGATTATTTTGTTGATGTGTAGTGATTTTTTTTTATCAGTTCGGTAAGTGGAATTAAAGTCGATGGGACGCAACTTTAGGTCTTTTAAGAGGGGTCTTTTAGGTTGTTTTAATATAGTATCTTTTTTCTAAAATTTTCATTCCACTTCGAAAAGTTTCGTGGAAAAGAAAAGCAATTATCTGCTGGTGTAGTTTCAGAAGTGTGACTAAGTGAGAAATTATTTACTAACTGAGTCAGATATTTCAACTTATATTTTAGCGAAGGGGAAAAACTCTGTTAGTAACCCTTAAGTGTTGGCCCGATTTGAGAGCAGGTTACAGTAAAGATTTGCAACTAATGTTCTTCAAGAACAGTTTACGTGTAGTGGCATATCTATATTCAATAAGGAGTAAGTAATTACTGTTGGGTTTGGGTCAAATTTCAGTAGTGTTTTAGTGACATATGGACATCCTAAAGCATTGGTAATCTATTGAATATTCACTGACTTGTATTTACTTATAGTAGTAAAAGAAAATTTGTTGAATTGACTTTGAATAGGTAGCTGTATAATAGTAAACGTTGAATTTGGTAGTTTGAGAAAGAATATGATTTAGCTGTGCCTGTTCTGATGGCACGGTAATCTAATTGTACGCCTCGCAGATTTTGTAATTAGTTATTAGTTTCTTTTTTTTTTCTAAACGTAGACTTTTTAAGTTTCTTAAGAATTACACGAGCAGGATGTCTGAAAAAAAATCTCAAAATCAGCGGTCGCAGTACACATTGCCCAACTGGTTTGGCGCTTTTTAGACTTTTATTGTTTTTTTCTGTGTTAAGAGCATGAAAGATTTTTTGGAAACATTAAGCCCGTATTTTTGCATATCATCTCGTTTTTTTCGTTGTTTAGTGAAGATGTAAATTGCCGCTTTCTACCTGGCGTGGTATATTAATAAGTTTACAATCTAGATTTCAGATTAGTTTATTGAACTTTTCAGGAAACTTTCTACCTAAAGCCGTACATAGATGAGATTAATGCTGAAATCAAGGTTCGAGAAGAAGCTGAAACCATCATGCCCAGGTTTTTCCACAAAAAGTGATTCCGTTGCATCACTTATTTGTAGTTGATAGTGTATTAGAGTAAATTTAGGCGAGGTTTGAACTGTATTTGCCATCTTTTAAAATAATTTGTCAGTTTGATTTATGAATCTCTTGTGTGTTTGTTTAGGGTGGTTTGAAACGCAATCAGACTTTGGTAAAGCGCGTCTTTTCTTAACTTGACGATTTTCAGTGTTTTATGATAAACTTTTCTTGTTTGAAGACGTTTGTCATGCTGGCAGTTCGCTTAATTATCGTAATTCTAGATAGTTGAGGTTATATTCGTAAACTTAAGGATCAGTTTTGAGTTGTATATTTTTATCTGGTGAATAACCATTAAATTTGTCATAGTTTGGTTGAAATTAAAATTTTTTAGAACTGAAATTTTTGTTGCTTTTATATCGTGCAATTTTTTAATACGACTTGAACGAAATTAAAGCTTTTTATTGAGCTTTGAGAAAAGATACGCTTTTTTGCATTGATCATATCTACTGCCTTCGCGGTAAAAAAAATTAATTAGGTCTCAAGTGAGGATATGGATTTTAGGACATTATGTGAGGCTTCAGTTTTTCATGTGGGAAAACGTTACTAATATAGGGAACTAGTTTATTAGTTCCAGTAATTTTTATAACAATCCATTTGCAATACTTGTTATTTCATTTTGACAACAGCAATAGAAGCTTTTTCAATTCAAAAGTGGAACATTTTGAAAGGAATTTGGAATTCGAGAGCGGATTGTACAAATCTTCCGATTTATCGGTTTCTCATGCATTTGCACTTGTGAACAGTTCCACTACGTTTCTGTCTCTCAGGTTTGAAAATGAATTTGCGGGTCTGATAAGGAAATGGGTACAAAGTGAAGAAGTTATTTACAACAATAACAACAAATGGATTCATGAACTGTTTAACAACAACTAGGACAAGAGTATCACAGTAAAAGCGAGAAATCCTAGACGAATATTAACAGATAAGCGCTTATTAACAAAAAAACCAATGTTAACGATAGGGTTGGTCGTTTGCGTGGCGCAAGGTTGGCTTCAGTGTTTTGGTGGGATGGCGATGCTTAGGTAAGGGAAGCCACACGACTTTAGCCACGTGTCTTCGAATTACGTTATTAGTGTATTGAATGGTAATAAGCAGTTATTGCTGATGTAGCGTTGTAATTTGCAACTCTTTTTATTTGTCTTACTATTTTTATGCCACTGTTCCCAAATCTCTTGCAATTTATTAGCAAAAAGTTATAGAGAAAGCTGTTCTTTTCGACTTGTTCGGATGAGGAAGTTGATATCACTAATTCCTCTGTAAATCACAGTCTTTTGAACCTTATAGTTTCTTAAGTCTGGGGAGACAAAATCTCTTGGTTCAATACCTATTTGCCGCTTAATATTTTTTTGGTGAGCGGGCCCCATTCAGGATTTCAACGATTAAATCCTTGAGGATGCCACGGCGTTGAAAAATGAAGTTTGAAGCTGGAAAGTAGTACTTAATTATAATGTCAGTGCTGTGTTGTAAGGGTGGTTGGGTCTGGTGCTGTTGAAATTCGATGAATTTGTGATGGATGTAGTTTCGAAATGCTGAGATTTTTCTTGGAATTTGCCTTCATGATTGATGCTCTCTGGTTGATTACTTCGTCCAACGTATTAATGCAGGAATCATCCGATAGCGACTCCCACGACTGCAACTGAAAACTGCATATACTGGATGAACATTTAGAATAAGTATGTAACCACAGTAGATTTTAAGCTCTGTATAGAAATATAAATAAACAAACAAGCATATATATATATATAT